CATCTTTAAAATTTTTACCGGTTGTCGTTGGGGTAGCGGCGCGTTTTAGCCATGCTTCGTCGTTTTTACGTAATAATGTTGTCGGCTTAACACGACGAACTCCTCCCGCTGGTGCATTCGTAGAAGCCGGTGTTGTTGTAATTGAGGCTGAAGCTGTAGTCATGCCCACCGTTACTAGCGACGTGGCCGGTGTGATTGCTATTGGAACTATAGGTGCTGCCGAAGTTTTGACTTTTGGTGGATAACTTAACAAACTATTGCTATTTGCTTTGTTAATCGTTGGACTCATTTGTGTGGCAAGACTATTTACATATGCGATGCGTGGTCCCGTACATGATTGTTGCAATGCGACTGGTGTGGCTAATAAACTAGCTGCGGATGCCGAAGCTATCGATGTCGTAGTTAGATTTCCACTAACAACATTGTTATTGCTATTTTTTGGTGGTAACATAATTTTAAAGTTATTATTAATATTTTTATTACTATTGCTAGTATTGCTACTGTTGTTCGTATTGTTGTTGATGTTTGTATTAATGCTGCTGGTCAATTGTGTGCGCGCCGCTGTAACCGATGTGGACGGCGGCAAACTACAAGTTGTATGCATCAATTTTGGACTGAACAACTGATGGTCACTGAACGTTGTAGCCGCACTATGTGGTGGAGTGGCTAGCAATTGAAGCGGTGGTGTGGCGCCAGCTGCCATCGACTGCACGGATGATATTAATGGCATCAGCGTAGTATTTGATGTGGAAGTTGTTGTAATGTTGCTGGGACTGATCGTAGCGGGTGGTGTACTTATTTTTCGCACTTGTGAATCAAGTTTCAGTGTGTGCTGTGGGTTTTGTAGTTGCTGCTGCTGCAATTTTGGCGGATTATGCTGTTGCTGTTTTGATTTCTGCAACTTTGGTGGCTGTGGTTGTTGCTGTAGTGGCATTTTCAATTGTTGGGTAGGTGACGATGTTGTCGATAAGCGCTTACGTAACACAGTCGGTGATGGCTGTAGTTGTGGTAATTGTGATAAATGTGGTAATTGTTGTTGTTGCTGCTGCTGTTTGTTCACGATCTGTTGTTGTTGTGGGTGATGTTTTGTGTTTAGCGTTTGTGTTAAATGTCTTGGTGGCGTGGGTGATTGTCTTTCCTTCAAACTGGTTATCGCAGTATTTGCATTAATTTTTAAAAGACTTGTCGCAGCAGTCTTTGACAAAATTAATTTACTGGTGGCAGCTACTGTTTCCGCCGAAATTTTTGCTGCTGTCTCTGTATTTGACACGGTAATTCGGCCAACAGCATTGCTGTTAGTAATATTGGATGAACCAACATCAACAGGACTGCGTCGTGTGATTGTTATGCCGCTGGGTATTGGACGTGGTTTTGTTTTTTTATGTTTTAGTTGATTTGTTGTCACATTTGCAGAACATTTTGTGGCGGTTCCCTTTATGGGTGTTATCGTGGCTGGAATTGATGGAGCAATAAACGCTTTCTTTGTTGGTACCTAAGAGAACAAACATTTTTTTAAACAATTATCAGAGAAATCTATAGCATATGAGAAAATATTACAAACGTGTATAAAAAATTTGGGCGAAACTCTACTAATGCCACTCTAAAACTATAATTTTTAAATTGAAATTAATTAAATTTTATTGATTATAAAATAAACATTTAATATATTGACAAGCTTTCTTTGATAAACTTAATTTAAATTACATATGTACATATTTTTTTATTTTTCAACCTGCTTCTGGAGAAAATAGTTCGAGCTGCAGAACTAAATAGAGAAGGTACCATCTTCTATAAGAGTGTACAGCTGCTGGCGTATGCCGAT